TAGGAAATAATTTATATTAATAAAGTTTTATTATAATCAACATTAATATATTGTGTTATGGAACCAATTTCTATGATTATACTTTAATAGTATTATTCTGTATCCAAATTAACATATTGAACATTTATGAATGGTTTCATCTAAAACCCTTTACAGAAAATCATTTACTTTAATTACAATTACTAGAATGACAAAAATCCAGTGGCGTATTTATGAGTGGGGAGGGGATGGGTGGGTGGTTCCACCTCTCCCCCCAAAGGCCAAATTGAAGATGTCAAATTTTAAACATATTATCAATAATATAATAATTTGGTATAATATAATATAATAGTTAGTTTATTTTATAAAGCATAATGAAAAAARTAACCTATTTAAAAATAAATATAAATATTGTTAATAATWAAATTGTAATCAAATAATAATAATAACAATCGACCGCACGTCAATGTCGGCACCACACACTTTATATTATGGTATATAAAAAATCTGATGATAATATAATTTGTGAGAACACAATTTACTCTATATTTGAGCATCGGGGGCTCCTAACAAAAAGGTATAATATAATATTATTATGTAATTTTTTTTTATCCGGATTTTTTAATAAATAGTTATAGTTATAGTTATAGTTTTAACCTGTATTTTATTTCTTTAAGATTAAGGACTAATCACTAATAGGTATAATAAAGATTAAAGAGCATTTTATACTAATTTATAAAATTATTTCACTATTATGGCACYCCCAAAAATAAGTTTGTAAATACGCCACTGCAAAAATCTTATGGTTATTTTATGTATACTAACATATAAGTTATGACACTTAGTAATATTTTGTTTCAGATAAATCTGAATTTTCTGAAGTCTCAGAAAATAGTGTTACCAAAATTCTTACAGATGTTACAGAATCTTCATTTTTATTAATTGAAAATGACATAAAAAATTTGTACTTAACAAYATGAAGTAAGTTAAAAATAAAAGTYTTGTTGAATAACCAATTTGTTTTACATTTTGTTAAAATCATGTTTATTATAATAATACCTGTAAAACGGTTTTCAGTAAAATTAAGGGATACATTTTCCCTACTTACTAGGTATGTTTACAATTTTATACCCATAGCAACCACTGAATGTAGTCATTACTTGCATTATCAGTGAACTAGTCTTTTAATAATGTTGTGATTTGATTAATGCTATAAAACTATAAAACATTAAACATGGAGCTTTATAGAGTAGATTACACATTGTTAGGCATGGTTTCTTCTAATTGCATGAAGGTTTTGCCGATTTCTCAAAGTGATGCAGCTGAAAAGAAGACACAAAAAGTAACGTGCTATCATAACAAAATATAATTGTGTTTTACTATTAATTTTAACATTAAATGTAGATTATTGTTGGTGATCAAGAAGGTATTGTACAAATGTTTCAAATTCGAAAAGGGAAAATTAACATGTTATTCAAAACACTGCCTGTAGAAAAAATAACTGAAGTTTGTTTAGGAGGAGCTCTTGGTATCTAATAAATTTATTATTCTAATTAAATTTCATGTTAATTAATCAAGATAAYTAATACCTTCAAAGGTACTGTTCAAGATAAAATATTTTTATCAATGGGGACATCAGTTCGTGGCTATACTAAAAAGGGCAGAATGTTTCTTAGTTTTGATACTGGATTATTGGAATCAATTAAATGCATGTGAGTATTATATGTGAATTCTGAAAATAATTGATGTATAATTTGTTTGTCGTGATACAATTAATTATTAGTAAATGGTTTTATATTTAATATATTATAAATTATAGGTGTTATGTAAAATATTAAGTTTTACGTAAACTGACTTACCTATTATGAAACAAAATACTGTTATAATTCAATAAAGTAAAAAAAAAAATGTATTTACAATTATCATGTTGTACCTTCATTGTGTTTTAGTAATCCGTTCACAATAACCCCAAATTTTAAATTTTCGTGCATACAATTTAAAAAAAATACTATCTTATTATTAAAAATATTCATTTACATTTCTCTTGAAATTGAGGGGTAATAGTAAATGTCTGGGGATRTTTAAATTGTAATTTTCTGAGGTTGTAAATTGGCTAAAATTGTATTGAAAATATATTTATTAGTTGCACTAGTATTGATATACAATGACTATATCAATTTGTGTGTAGTTAGCCATCATAAACATAGCTTAAAAAAATACTTTGTTCGAACCATTTACAATTACCCTGCTTGAATGCTTGAGGCTACTCCTCTTTGGGACTTTTCAAATTAATCATTATCATAATTACTAACTGTAATGAATTTAATATTTGTAAAAATATTTTTATCAGGTATGTGACTGGAAATGAACTTTTGGTATCAGGAAAACATATATTTAGTCACTTTAATGATTGCAAAGACATAAGTACTTATTTATGTCCAGAATTAATAAATAGCATTTTAACATTAGATGTAATAAAGGTATTGTAATAATCTATAAACTATCATTTTAACTTTTATACATTTATTGTTATCTAAGGATGTATATATTTATTTAGATGCAAGGTATAATGCCTATTCTAGCTTGTGCAGATTTATGTATTAGAATACTTGAGGGTTCAACTGTAAAAGAAACATTTTATTTATCATCAGAGCCAACTATTTTACATTTAATGAAAAACAATGGAGGTTCATATGGAAATGAAGTTTTAGTGGGACTGCAAAGTGGTCATATTGTACTTCTTAAAATAGAAAAGTATATTTTAATTTTAAATACTGATAATATTATACTAGTTTTAAAACTTGAAGTTGAAGACATTTATAATTTACATATTAGAAATGCTTCTACGRSTATACTTTGGGAAATGGTAACTCAATCAAAGCAAGGAGCAATTACATGTATTGATTGTTATGAATTTAATGGAGAGGATCATCTTTTAATCGGTCGTCAAAGTGGTTCGGTTGAAGTTTATTCATTAGACTCACATTCTGTCCCTATTGAAAAATATAAATATGTAATTTTAATTGATTTTATAATTTTTGACCACTGTCAATCTGTTGTGTATAAATGTTAACATTATTTTAGAGTTGCTCAGAGAGTATAACTTCAATTCAAGGTGGAGCTATAAGATGTTTTGGTATTCCAGAAATTGTTGTCACAACTTTTACAGGTTAAGTTAAATTATTCATTCTACATATTATTATATTATTTAAAGAATGATTATTGTATAATTTTTTCAGGTTGGCTTTTTGGATTAAGTTTCGTTGATCAACATATTGATAAAGAAATTGTATTGGAATCATCAAACATAATTTTGAACGATGAAAAACAAAAAATATTAGATATAAGGTAAACATATTGTCACCGATATATAGTTTAGTTATAAGTATTAATTATTTAATGCATGTACATTTATTAGAATTTTGTATTTTATTTTGTTACTTTCATTGAAACTAGAAAAATATTTAGTTATCATTTAATTCAAATTGAATCTAATYAAGAATGTTGTAGGACTGAAGTAAGTGATCTGGAAAGACAAGTTGCTATAGAAAGAAACAAATATTTGGAATTTACCCAAAAAAGTTCAAGACCTTCTGTTTTACCTTATTTAGCTGTTAAGAACTCTGTGAGAATGATATTATTATTTTTTTATTAAAGTAAAGTTAATAAAGTATATAAATAAAAAATGTTTCACTTTTTTTACAGATGTTTTTGGATTCAGAAAAATTAATTTATCATTTAATCATTGAACTTGAAGCTACTATTGATAATGTTTTATTGCAATGCAATTGTTCAATTAATTTGATTGATATTGAAAACAATAATAATGCTGTAGTGAGCAAAAGTAAATGTAAAGAAGAGGTATAATAGTTTATATTATTATTTATTTATTCAATAATATTTAATTTTGTTATTATTTTCATTTGCATCATTTAACCTATTTAATCAAAACAAGTATAATTTTAGATTTTAAACAAATTTAATAAGAGCTCAAACTAAATAAATTTTTGAGTCCTTGAAGTAGATTGCCAGCTATTCTCTAGAGTCAGGTTGACACTATAGAGGTGAAGCTGACTAGGCCGAACCTCAAAATTTATTTGTGAAATACTCAAATAGGTACCTCATTTGTAGTATATTTTCATGTATTTTTTAGATTCTGAACGAAGTGATGAATGTATTGATTTTACAATGATGTGTGTTTTTTTTT